CTCTCTCTCTCTCTCTCTCTCTCTCTCTCTCTCTCTCTCTCTCTCTCTCTCTCTCTCTCTCTCTCGAGTTTATCCCCCATTTCAGACCCAATCTCAGTTGCTTGATGAATGTTGAGATTGTGCCCAGATTCATCAAGCTCACAGTTTGTTTCGCTTGTTAGTTATTTTGTGCTTAAGAGGTACACTTTGAATATGATTTAATCGGTACAAGCCTTATTTAACGTGCCAAAATGGTAATTGAAACCAAGTTTGAGGGACTGTTTCTGTATTGGGCCAATAATTTACAGTGTTTTCTTCACTCCCTTAAAACTGCAAGAAATTTTATATGTTATTAGATGAGCTAGGAGGCACATTAATTAGATGGGCAAGGACAAAATCTTGTCAAATCCTGACAAAGAAGAAATTGGATTCCCAGGAATATCAAAGATTCTAGTGCAAAAAGAAAGAAAAGAGAGAAAATGAAGGCAGCCAACTTAATTGAATTGGAGACTCGTTGCCGTTTTGTAAAATGAAATAGCGCATTTTCGTGACAAACATCAATAATCAAGATGCTTATGGCGACACGTTGTTTCTTAAAGGACATAACACTTATATTTAAGTAACAAGTTCCACTTTGATCCCAAATGTGGTCATTTTAATGAAGTGATGTCTTGATATTGACAAGAAACTAACTTCCCTTGAACTTATCAAGCACACTAATATATTCCCTATTAAGCTCAATGATAATACGTATGCTTGAGCAGTTAATCCGACATTTTTAGGTTAATTCTTCAAAAAGAGGAAAATATAAGAAATAGAATCACTCCCAGACCTGTATGAGTATTATTACTCAACTCAGCTAAATTATTTACTCCTATATATTTAATTTGTTGGCATTCTAGTGAACTCATATGCAAAAGAAGAAGAAAAAAGTGCTTCCGATCATGCACCAACAATAAGTGCATTATAGGTGCCTTTTACATAAAGTTTATTGCTTAACGATAGTTAATTAAGATATAGGTATATCCTTATCTCGATTTATCACATAAGCTAGCGGTAAATTGCTGCAGTTCCCTGTCAATATTTTTTTGGCACTTTTGTTTACTAAGACCTTTTTGACCAAATTTTAAAAAGCTAAAGGGGAATACATTTATTTTAAATTAACATTAACATGATCAAAGATTACAGAAAATAACAAAATGTATTTTTCTTTGTATCAAATATTCATGAAAGAATATATTTTAAAATATTGGAAAAATTTCCATTACTATAGTAGATGGGGGAAGCGAAATTTGGGATAGAAGATGTAATACTAATTTATTTACTAGAAACAATATATGATCTATACTCTTACCCTAAATTTCATTTCTCTACGTAATGTCGATTGCCATTATTGTGTAAAATCAAATACTTGATTCTTGAACTGAATCCTCGTACAGCAGCTATGGAGAGGGCCACAATTAGTGATGAACAAAAGGGATTTTCGGCCACTTCATTTAGTTCATACTAGCTAGTATATTATTAACTCTGTCTCAATTGGTCAGTTTGTATAATAAAAAGTACTCTTGACCAACTTTTTATTGTATTTCTTGCCTTTTAAGCACTCTTTTCTACCCCTACCCCCTCCCACAAATCTCACACTCATATTTCTTCCTTCTTCCTCCAATCCAAAAACTTCCTTCCTTTCCTCTTCTCCTTTTTTTTTTCTCTGCATAAATCTACTTTAGCTTTAGCTCCGTATACAGATAGTATGCCTGAATGTCAAGAGAAAGGTATATTCTACTGCAAACCTTTTGGTTCATTTATTTATAACAAAAAAACCAAATTCATTTCTTCTAGAAGAATGGCTTTTCCTTCTTTTTTTTTTCCTTTGTTACAAGATGTTTTAGGAACTTCAATAATAAAGAATCATATTTGTGAATCACTAATTGTTAACGAAAGATTTATATATATTGTTTTAGGGAGAGATATGAGGAGATAGGCAAAAAAATAAAGAGGGAAGCAGATGACTACTCGCAAATGGGAAGGAGATATTTGTTGGGGAATCCAGGAACTACAATGACCTTAAACACTGTAACACCTTGTGCTGCCTGTAAGCTTTTGAGACGTCGCTGTGCTCAAGAATGTCCATTTTCTCCCTATTTTTCACCTCATGAACCCCAAAAGTTTGCTTCTGTTCACAAGGTTTTTGGTGCTAGTAATGTTTCCAAGATGCTAATGGTAAGCACCTTTCTCCTCTTGTGCTTCTCTTTACTTGAACAATCTTAAATCTTGAATTGTATGACTATTTTATACACAAGTTTAAGCTGTTAGAACGAATACACTTTTATTCACAACACACCCCTCCCTCGTGTGCAGGCCTAATTCATTTTTTCTGAGCCCGCACGTGAAAATTCTTTTTGATAATTAGTGGCATTCAATTGTATGACTTTCTCATTTAGAAGTCTAATTTGTTAGAATAAATATATTTTTATTTACTTAATTATATGTATCTTCAACATTATTCCATTTCCATGTAAAATTGGTTAATTAATGCAGGAGGTATCTGAGAACCAAAGAGCAGATACAGCTAATAGTTTAGTTTATGAAGCTAATGTAAGGTTAAGAGATCCAGTGTATGGTTGCATGGGAGCTATTTCTGCTTTACAACAGCAAGTTCAAGCTTTACAAATGGAATTAAATGTTGTTAGGGCAGAGATATTGAAGTACAAATTTGGGGACACCACCACTCTCACTAATATTCCCTCTTCTCATATTTCATCATTGCTTGCTTCTGGAGCTGTTTCCGTCGTCGCCGCACTGCCGCCGCCGCCACCTCCACCACCGCAACCGTTATCGCTACCTTCAACGATATCTTCTTCTGATGCCATGTACGCGCAACCGTCTACAACCACTGAATTTAGCACCATATCCAGTGAGAATAATATCTCTTATTTTGGCTAAATTCCTTGTTGGTTAATAATTTTCCAATTTGTTTATTATTATTATTATTCACATTTTACATCATGAATCAATTGTTGAGTACAATAAGTAATAAATTGTTTAATGCTATGATAAGATACACATGTTCTGTTACAAATCTTTGTATTCCTTTCTAATTATAAAGAAAGTGAAAGATTATTTTCCATCTTCTATCTTATACAATTAATTGTAAGTTTACTTAGCACATATAAGTCATGCGGCTAGTGTATACCTTCTCTTATTTTACCTTTTATATTTTTGTTCTCTTCTTCTTCACATTTATTTTCTTACCAATAATATATTCCTTTTTTTGTTCAAGCTAGCTCATCTTTTCTCCTAATTGAAATTCACCACATGATATATATATATATATATATCCATGAAGTTAGAGTATAGACTGGGTACAAATAGGTGGAGTAACAAAAATGGAGAAGGAAAGAAACTCGACCTTATTATTGAATGCTGTTCATTTATTTTTCTTTGTTTACAATAATGTTTGCAATATCAAGATAATAGTAAAATAAATTCGTGAACTGTACAGTTAGGTATATTTGAATCTATTAAGCTTGTTTTGACATTTTAAAACTTGCTTATCTAAAACAAATTATATATGTTGAAGATTTTAAGAAAATAAGTACTATCAAGGAAGAAGACCAGAAGCACCTGTCAGCTGTTTTTTATTTAGTGAAAGCTACTAAATATTTGAAAAAGAAAAAAGGATTATAGCTAAAGTAAGAGTGATAAAAAGAGTTAAATATGTATGTGAAAACTAAAGTGAACACCTATATGTAGTTGAATTGTTAGATGGTCAGTAGTCCTGCCAGCTAAGTTTGTATTGTATAAATTAGGGGTTCCTTGGCGTGTGGAGCTCAATATGCATTAAGAGGAAGGCAAAGGAACCTTTTAATAATAATAATGTAAACAAACTTATAGAAAACTTCATTCTCCTTTATTCTCTTTTGGTTTATTCTCCTCACTAAGTGCCAAAAAAGAAAAAAAAGCAAAGAGGAAAATATTGTGGTGGGGGGAGGTTTCTTTGCAAAACTCTCCTTATTACAAATGTAATACAAAGACGAAATTCAGTGTCTCTCTCATCTAAGTCTCTTTCAGAAATGTCTAAAACCAATGCAGAGAATTGATGGAATTTGGTCTAAGGTCATGGTTGCTTCAGATGTTGGCATCTTATTTGTCTTTACACAATCTCCCATTCATTTCCTCATTGAAAATTCCCTTAAAATAATATACGCTTTACTTCTCCCAAAGTCTCATCTTTGTTCACTCTTGTGAGGCATGCAAGTTGTATAGAGGGAAACTGCTTTGAAACATTCCATGATATTTTTAAAAGAAGCAAAACAAATGGTCAAGTACGCCAAGTTAATTCCTTCCCCACGTGAAGTTAGTCTGTTTAAGCTCCAATTTATGGCTAACATGTATGATCCAACTTAATATATACTCAAGCTTTTGCAAATATCTAGTCAAGCATGTTCTCTTATGTTATTCAGTGTTAACGTAATCATTAAGTCTCAAACCCTAAATCAACACTATACATCAAACTTCGTAAATCCTAATAGTTACAACAACCATATGGAGGGTGCTATCTTTTTATTTGGACAACGAATTCGGTTCACTAGCTAGTTGCAATCCTTTAATTGATTTTAACATTGAATTGTTATTAACTTTTTGGCTAATTCCGTAGGAAAAGACACGAAGACATTTTCTCGTTTACATGTAATAGTCTGTCAAATTGTATTCAGAAAGTATCTTAGACATCAATAAGGAAGAAATCCAAAGTTTTAAGTTAACATTAGCTGAAATTGGAAAAGAGTGATCTCATTATATATTAAGATTTGAGTCCAAGAAATGATCCCTGAGAAAACTAAAGTTTCACACAAAGGATTGATACGACAAACTTTTCTTCTGTATTGATCAGAAGTCATCTCAGAAAGTTACTAGTATACTAGTATTAGTACCCGCTGTGCGGATAATATTATGATCCTACTAAATTCTATAAATTAAAAAGAATAAATTATATGAATAATTATTGACATAAACTTAAATATTATAACCCCGTATATAGCCGGTGCTACAAACAAATAAAAATACAATATGACTCAAAAATATATACTCCTTCCCTTTCAATTTACATAAAATATTTTTCTTATTAGTCTGTTCCAAAAGAATGACACATTTCTGTATTTGAAAATAATTTAACTTTAAATTTTTATTTTACCCATTTTACATATAATGAGGTTCTTACACCCGCGCAAAAATATCATGGCCCCACAAAACTATTAGGATCATACGTTTCAAAAGTTTTCTTTTTCGTTCTTAAATTCGTGCCAAGTCAAACTATCTCATCTATATTGAAACTGAGTGAAGTCATACTATATAGAGTAATAAAAAATAAAAATACATTTAGTAATATCTTAATTTAAATTATANCGCGGACCGCGTTACATCTGTGCGGTCCGCGGTCGCCCTAACGCGGCCGCTGTCAAGTTGTGCGGTCCGCATTGCTAGGTTCTGCAACGTGTTTATGCTGCTGTGTACTGATATTGTCTATGCAATCTATTTTGATTCACTTGTTTCACTGCATGTGCTTAAACTAACAATGTTAGATGCTTATCTTTGCAGACAGTGGTTAAACAAAGGGGAGCCAAACAGTCACAACAACCCGGGAGAGGAGGTTCCTCCCGAGGGGGTATAGGAAAAAGAATAGCAAAGCTCACTCCCCAGGCTAGGGAAAACATAAAAAGAACTCGAAAATTGATCAAAGCTACTGATAGGGATGCTTCGCATTCGTCGGGGAGTGAGTATGTACCCTCCAAAGACATCTCCTCCGATTCAATCCCAACTCATGTAACTGACCCCCTCCACCTAGATATACCCCTCCCCCATCACCCACCTCCAAAAGAACAGTGATTGTAGTCTCGGATTCTTCTGATGAGTCCGTAGCTGGTAGTGAGCAATACTCCACCTCCCCCACAGCTTCATTATCTGGGGAGAGTGCAGGCCAAGATGAGGGAGGTGAACCTCAGATTGGGGGGATTGAGAGAACTAGGAAGCCTGAAGTCTGGGAGGATCGGTTTGTCAGTCAAGTGGCCTTTCATAAGTTTAGGGAATGGTGGCCGTTGAGGAAGTTGATACCGAAGAGATGTTTCATTGACACTGATCTTTTACCCCACAACCCGAATGTGCAAAGGGAGTTCAGAACAAGATGGGGCTGGGAGTTCTTCATGGAGAGGTGCATAGATGCTAACGAGCACATGGTTAGGGAGTTCTACTCCAATGTGGCTCATATAGTCAAGGATACCAAGGTGACCAAAGTTAGAAACAAAACAGTGTTGTTTGATGGGAGATCGTTAAATGAGTATTTGGGGTTCCGTGATGAAGACGAGTCTCTGTATTTGGCAAAGTTGGCAATGGGAGAGGAAGTCCGCCCGTGGTTGGCCCAGTACTTGGCAATCCCAGGTACTGTGCCGGAGTGGTTGCAAGCTGGAAAGAAGATATTCAGGAAGACATTCAGTTTTGAGGCTCTAGGGTGGTTAACCTTTGTATGCAGTCGGCTTGACCCTTCTACTCATGACCAGACAATTCCACTTACCCGAGCAGTTCTGGTTGCATCTATCATGGCTGGGTACCCGATCAACGTGGGCAATGTGATGTCCCGTGTGATCTCCGCTGTGGGGCAAGAGCATGACAGGAATTATCCTTTTCCAAACACCCTATCGATGTATTTCCGGGATCTAGAGGTGGAGAAGAGGAGATATGATGTCAAGACAAAGCCGGTAGCTCCTTACTCTTGGTACAGCATGCAGGGTCCGGACAACCCTAAATCCAAGAACTACAAGCCACCTTCCTCTACCCCAACTGGCCAGTCTGAGGAGCCAGTTGCGGTAGAGCCTTCTGCCGAGCCTTCTGCCACACCTGCAGCCACTACAGTTGAGGACTTGCCTCCAGGACCTTCTTCTTCTGCTGGTCCCAGTACTTCCACAGGCCCGAGAGTACCATCCTCCAGGACACATCCATTCACTGCCCATCAGCTGAGTCAGACTCTGGCTAGCCTGAACAACTGGATGTCAGCAGCGACATCCAAGTTGTCCACCTTGTCTTCCACTATTCAGACCCAGGCAGCACCTCAGCCAGTTCAGATTCCTCAGTCCATTGAGGATACCTTGAAGAAGCTCCTGGAGAACCAGGAAAAGATTCTGAAGACTCAGGCTACCCTATCTGCAGCAGTGGAGTCACATGGCAAGGCTCTGAAGGAGCTTGCCAAGGAGCACAGGAAGATGCGGAGGTCACGGGCTTCCAAAGAGTCTGTGAAGGAGCTGCGGAAAGATGTGGACAAGCTATTGGCAGATCAGATGCCTTTAGACTTGTTATTTGGAGATCCAGCCCCTCCAGCAGCACCAGTGCCACAGCCAGAGCAGGAGCAGGTACCCAGGCAGCCTAGGAAGAAGAGGAAGCTCCCCAGCACAGCAGATGCAGTTATTGAGGTGGCGGTCCCACAGGAGGCCTCATCCACTTTGCCTCAGGATGCACCTGTCATACAGCCGGTCCAGGAGCACGCTCCAGTCCCAGCAGTTGAGCAGCAGGAGGCCGGGAGCCAGTCTGAGGCTCCCGCACATACGGAGGACTTGGGGACCACAGATGACCCCATGCAGACGGACCAGGCTTAGGGAGCCCCTATATCCTTTGCTATGACTTTTGTTTGATGCTTATTTTGGTAGTTGGCATTGGGGACAATGCCAGCTCTTATTCGTGGGGGTGCGCCCTACTTTTTTGTTGACTATCTGGATGATTGTACATATTTGACTCAGTTTTTATTCCTTTTGCTTGATTTGCTATTTGGTATGTAAATAACTTTACATTCAGCACCTTTTATTTTCTATTTTGGTTTGTATATAAAGTTAAGTTACATTTTGTATAAATTCATCCCTCGTTTGTATATTCTAATTCCCTATTGTAAATATTCATTCTAGTTTCTTTTTCGCAAAAAAATTTCATTTTTAGCTTTATAGTTAGGCTCGTAGCCTTTTGTTTTGTTTTTGACGCTTCCAATAAGCCCTTGGTTTTCTTAAGGCCACGGTTCTTTCCAAGGGTGGAATATTGTGTGAACCGGGTGGCTCTTCCCGATGATGGATGGAGTGACTACCTTCTTAAGGGTTTGAGTCCGTTTCTTTGATTTTTCTTTTGTTTTTGATAGTTGTAGTTAAGGGCACCTCAAGCAAAG